GAGGTCTCGCCAAGTTGCCCGGGCAGGTCTCGAACCCGCGGGCTCAGACAATCCACTTGCCTCGGCCTCCCAAAGTGCTAGGATTACAGGCTGAGCCACCGAGTCAGCCGAAATCTTTTTTTTGTGTGTGAGTTGGAATCTCACTGTGTTGCCCAGGCTGGAGTGCAGGGGCACACTCCCAGCCACTGCAGACTAGACTGCTGGGCTCAGTTGATCCTTCTGCCTCAGCCTTGCAAGTAGCTGGAACTGCAAGCATGCACCACCATGTCTGGCCAATTTTTCGATTTATTGTAGAGATGAGGTCCCACCAAGTTGCCCAAGCTGGTCTTGAACCAGTGGGCTCAGGCAATCCTCTCATCTCAGCCTCCCGAAGTGGTGGGACTATGGGCATGGGGCACCGTGCCTGGCCCAATATTTTGTGTGTCTGAGTCAAGATCTCACTCTTGTCTTCCAGGCTGGAGTGCAGTGGCACAGTCACAGCTTACCGCAGCCTCCATTTCCTGGGCTCAGGTGAGCCTTCCGCCTCAGCCTCCACAGTAACTGGGACTACAGGCACGTGCCACCATGCCCAGATAATTTGTTTTTATTTTTGTGGAGATGAAATCTTGCTATGTTGCCCAGGCTGCTCTCCAACTCCTAGGCTCAAGCAATCCTCCCGCTTCGGCCTCCCAGAATGCTAGGATTACAGGTGTGAGTCACCGTGCATGGTCAACAATATTTTTCTTTTTAGTTAACATGATAGACACATGCATGATTACAACCTCTGCTGCCATTATGTCCTTGATCATTTCACCTGTCTCCAATTTCTCCACCGTTATGAAACAGCGTTGTGATGAAATGCAGCTGAATGACTCCGTTGGCCAGCTTCCTACTGGGCTAAAGGGTCCATTTCTAAGTCCGGCCGCAACTGCGCCGGCCAACCAAGGACGCCATTTCCGGTTGCCCTTAGTAAAGATGGCGGGAAGGACGGCGTCATTGTCGGCCAGGCGGCAGCATCTGTGCCCTCACCCAACATGGCGGCCTCTTGTGCCCGCCCCCTTGGCTTCCTCCGGGGCTACTCGGCTCCAGCCACTCGGTCACGATGGCGATGGCGGCGGCGGCGACGGTGGCCTCTCGGAGACTCTGCGACCTGCTGGCCCGGCGTGAGTCCCCTTCCGACGCGGCGGGGCGGAGGGTGCATCGCGCCGTCGTGCTGTCACGGCAGCTGCGGGTCGGGGGCGCCTGTCGGAGCGCGGGAGGGGCCGGCCCCCGCAGACTCAGGGCTCCCTGTGCCTCCGTCCGGAGGGCTCTCGGATCCCACAGGCCCGGGTCGCCCTTCCGGGGTCGCAGGCAGCGCAGTGTCCTCAGCCTCGGGCCAGGCCCACGCTCCAGGGTCTGAAGTGGCCCTCGCGCCGCGGCCCGTCGTCCCGCACATATTTCACAGCCGGCCCCCCCAGCCCGGGTCCCGGCGGGCCTCCGTCCCCCCGCCTGGAGCCCCCGAGCGCGTGCCCCCTGCGCGTGGAGGCGCGGCGGCCGCGGTCCGGAGGCACGGCGGCGCCCCCCTGGTTTCCGCCCAGGGC